CGTCATGATACATAAAACCATAGAACTCAAAGAGGATGTACTTTCTTTTTCACACGACTGTACATACATAATATTGCATTGTTTGACTTCTGTGAGGTGATGGGTTGGGTCCATCCCAAATATCTGAGGACACCTGAAGAATTTTACAGCTATAAGGCAGGTAATCCTGCTGTGTACCTGGTCGCACTCTGGAATTCAGAGGCAACTAGATCATTAGATGAGATTCCCCTGAGCAGCCTCTTCTTGGTCTCAGAACCTGGGGGACTGCTTGAATCTCAAGGAGCTCTAGTAAATGAAAAGGCTGAGCAGATGCCTAGAAAAATGCGGGTGGAAAACAAAGAGCAAATGCAACCAAACATGGCTATATACCCACATTTAGCTGTACTCTTCAATGATATGTCTGCTCTACGGAGTCTACAGATCCAGTGGCCTTGTTTTTGAATACCTGAATCCTACTGGGCAAAGAAGCATTACCTTTTTAGTTTGTAGATTTGTAGTCAAAAACCAAAAGAAAAAAAATAGAAATAAATGATACAAACCAAAAACCAAAGTAATACACAGGAAAAAAAAAAGCAACATAATGTAGAAAGATTGAAGAAAATGATTAAGATGATCCACACATATCTCTAGGTAAAAGCTAAGCCCAAGACTTTCCAATGGCAATAGCAATTGATTAGAACTTGATTATATATCCAGAAATTTTCAGTGAAAACTGTAAGTGGGTATTTCAATTTCTAGCTAACCAGTGCAGCTGGTAAAAAAAGAGTATATGTAAGGGCTGCATGCAATTTATAATTTCAGTGTACAGATACTTCTCTACTTATGAACAGATTATGTTCCAAGAGGCTGTTCATAAGCCTGTTTTGTTTGTAAGTCCAACCAAATAAAAAGTTTAAAAAAAAAAAAAAGGCAGGACAGCAGTGTAGGCAGAGGAGCCCTGTCTTCACCTGCCAATGTGAGTAGTGATAGCCTGCAAACTGTGTGGAGTGCAGTGGGACAAGCCAATAGGGCACGGCACGCTCCATTGTCAGGTGAACCAGCGGTGGCTCCCAGGGCAAAGGTGGCAGCTGCGCGGGAGGCACTGTTCAGGGTGGTGGTGGAACTGAAAGAAGCAGAGGGACAAGCATTTCCTGAAGGCAGAGTGTGCTGCTCTGCAGCTCACAATGGAAACTGCTGGCCCTTTGCAAGGCCTTGCAGGAGGAAGAGTGAAGATCACAGCGTCCCAGTGCATAACAGGTGCTGCCTAACCCTAACCATTGCACTTTGGGAGGCTGCAATCTTTAGTACCCTGAACAGTGCTTCCTGCACAGCCACCACTTTCGCCCTGGGAGCCACTGCTGCCTCTCCTGCCTTGCTCGGCGATGGAGTGTGCCATGCCCCACCGGTTCATGTTGTCGCTAAGAGTCGACAACAACTTGATGGCACATATTCAGTGGAGTAAAATGTGGGCAAATGACTTGATAGCCAACTTTGAGCAAATACAAAAGTGCTCCAAAACAAACAGATACTCTATCATTCGACATCTCAATGACAACTTGGATTATATTATATGGAAAATGCAGTAGACAACCAAGTTAAATGAACAATTAAAAAGAATCAGCATCTAAATGTACTCAATTGCTTGTTATTCCTTTTGTATTGTGTCTATCAGTAGAGCATCTGAAAACTGTAGACGCTTGATTTTTTTTAAAAAAGCATACCTTTCAGTTGTCCTACAACATTGTTCAGATAATTTTTAAGCTCAGAGTCCGCAGTAACAAGCATGGTAAGCCCATATTTTTGAACACGTGTAAATGTTTCAGCAGGATATATCCCACGTTGATATAAGATACTGTTGATACCATAGGCTGAAAGAGTAAAACATACATACTGTATCTTATTATCTCAAAAGCAATATTATGCCCTCTAATTCTAATCAAGAATTATGCCAAGTAATAGCAAACACAAAGATGTCAAATTTAATACAATTAGTGCTTGCTAATAAAAAAAAGTTACTTATCTTGGCATTGGAAACCTCATGACAGCCCACTATTCATGGCCACTCAGTTATGTTGTTTTATTTTAATATTTATTTTATCTATGTTTCATACTATTTTAAATTGTACAAAAAACATTTTTATGTTTAAATAAAAATACAGTAATTTTCTGATGGCCACTAATCCATGGTATAAACAACATGGCATTCTACTGCTTAAAAGGTTAGGACGTTGCAATGAAGATTTAAATGCTAAGCCTTGCCCAATCTGGCAACTCCAGGTCATTTTATACTGTGTTTATTATGTATGGCATAGGGCCTGAATATCCAAGATACTGCTTATCTCCAACTGTTTCTGCCCACCCAGTACAATCCAGAACAGTGGGTGCACTCCAGGTCCCCTCCATTAAACATAGCCATCTTGCTTTCTCTGTTGCAGCCCCCAACCTGTGGAACAGCATGCCCCCAGAGTTAAGGATGGGACCGTCTCTCCTGGTGTTCTGGAAAGCTTTGAAAACCTGGCTTTGGTCCCAGGCCTGGGGTTCATGTTTATTATTTGTTCAATGGGTCCTGTTTTGTATTGTTGTTTTTGCCATCTATTAGATTATTTAGCCTGGGCTGACGGTGTGATTCAATGTTTTTAGTTGTTTTTATGTTTTCCCTAGTTTTGTATGCCATCTGGAGTCCACTGGAGTTGAGTGGCCAATAAATTTAAATAAATAAATAATGCATATTTTGTTTTTGTTAGCCACTCAGAGTTGTATAGTTAGGATGGGTGGCTTAGTAAAAATAAATATTCTCTGAAGCCACAGCTCCCAGAATTCTTATCTAGTACAAGTAATTTTGGGAATTATAGTCTCAGTGTTTGGAAATGCACTACCTTAGGAAGACCAATATAACTTCCTTTATTGTAAAACATAGGGATTTATATATAAAAGCAATCCCTGCTAAAATTCTGTATTCTACTTTACTATTCCCTTCAAAACACAGCTTAATACTTTCATTTTAATACTTTGATCCAATTAGTTGTGATTACATTCAAACTCTGTAATTAACTATCCTGATAAAATAGAATTATCTACTTAGTTAACCTTAATGCAAAATGCTAATCTTCCCTTTCTCGATAATGGGAGTTGATATACCCAAACTTTCTAAATTATAGATACAATAGGAATGCACAAAATACTTTTTTGAATCAGTACCAAGATCTATTTTGTTAATAATTGTTCTTCTCTTCACCCCACCCTTGCTGTGCATTCACTACTTAAATGTCTCTAGAAAAACTCAAGGGGCAACTATTGTACATTATTTTGTTGGGGGGGGTGCCTTCAAGTCAGTCTTGGCTCCTGGCAACAACCCCTACAAGTCCCTGTGGCTTTCCTGGCAAGGTTTTTCAGAAGTGGCTTGCCATTGATTCCTTTCCAGGGCTGAGAGAGAATGACTAGCCCAAGGTCACACAGCTGGCCTTGTGCCCAAGGTGGGACTAGAACTCACCATCTCCTGGTTTGTAGCCTGGTGCCTAAACCACTACACCAAACTGGCTCTCAATGTATATGATTACTTCGCATGTAATAATCAAGGTGTACTTATTCATAACATTTCAAATTCTGTATAATGCTCCAAACTGTAGGACTTTCTTTTTTATCATGCTCCTCAGCTAAAAACAATAGCATATTGGGAAGAAACCTTTAAGAAACCTTAAATCCATGTAAAAAAATGACAGACGCAGCCAAGATAGCAGACTCAGAACTAAGTCTTTCAGATCTCCGTTAGACCTGCTCTTCACATTTTTATTAAGCATTTCTTCCTCACCTGAGGCTGCAGTTACTGCTTCTATTGTAGTCCACCAAATTTATTTGGGAGTAAACGTACCCAGGGCCACTCAGTTAACTTTCTTCCAAACTACTTTACACCCTCTCGGGGCTCATTTTCTTGCGTTATACTGCAAATTAAGTTCCTGCCTCCTTGTGCTTATTCTAAAAAGTTAAGTCGGACGCAGCTACTAAAAAGGCTAACTTGGCGGGGGAAGGAACACGTAGGAAAAGATGGAGAGGAAAAAGAAGGGGCGAGCGCAGCTCCCCTCGCCACAGCCCCCGCCCCGTTCCCCCAAAGGCAAAGCCAGTGATTCGGACTCCATTTTCCTCGGTTCCCATTAGAAAAATCCGTCGCCCTTCGAGCTCATCTAACTCGGAAGCAAACTCCGCCGGGCGCAAAGGGACTTGTTCCCAAGTACCATCCCTGGGAATAAGCTCACTAAGCAGAAGGGGAGCAGGAGGGATGCGGGTCACTGTCTTCTGACCGAGCCAACTCCCACCTCCCTACTTGCCCGGCCACTCACAGAAAAACTCCGCCACGATCTCGGCGCTGCCCCGCAAGGTGATGCCCTGCTCCCGGCTTTGCTGTTTCGCCATCGGCGTCGGAGAAAGTGAGATGGAGCCGGCCTGCAATTCAAGCAGGAAACAAGCCGTCCAGCCTTTCTTTGCCCTACAGGCCCAGATAGGAAATTAGAGGCCTTCCCGCCATCTGTTCAAAATCTAGCTCCGCCTCTCTCACTTCTCGCGGGAGTAAAAGAGGATTGACGCTACTGGGACCCAGCGGCCCGCCGGGGCGCAGGCGCTCTTTTTTGACGAATCCAGAAGAGGTTTCCACGCCTGGTCACTTTTAGGAATTAGTGCGCAAGCGCGAAAATTGGTAGTATGAGTTTGCGCTCGCTTGGGAGATATTTTTTCGTGGGGGAGCGGATTGTTTGCTCGCCTTATGTTTGGTTTAATGTTAACGTTTTCTCGTTAATTAAAGTGATTTGAGAGATTACTTGAGAAAAGGACCTGCGTCTTTGCCGACTGGTGTTTTTGTTTACTTCAGTCACTGAATTCTCACAGGATCTATTTGTAGCCCCCAATTAATAGTTTTAAATAGTAATGTTTACTAATTAGTTTAGGTTTGCTTTTTAATGTAGTTAGCACTTCAAATGCTAATTTGTCCATAATTTTAAAGAAATAAACTGCTTCTTACAATAACTTGATTTATTTGGATTACACTTATTTTAAGGAAGGTAGGGATTTTTTTAGTGGACGTTCCTAAAGTTTTCCATAAGAATAGTGGAAGTTTATTCAACTCAGAATTGTTTACAGAGAATGGCAATGACTCTCCAGAGTTTTAGGTAGGTGCCATTCTCATGCCTATTTTGAAAGGGCAGGAATTGGAGATACAATAGTGTATGTTCTTCCTATAAAGTAGGTGTCATTCTGCCAAACTATACTTTGCTAGCAAGAAGTTATAGTCTACAGAAATGCTTTTAGGTCTGATACTGTCTTGAAATAAAATAAGCAGATGTAATTGACCATCTAATTCTTTGTTTCTCAAATTTAACTTGTTAGCCACCAAAAGTGCTCATGTCATTAATAAAAAATGTTGAGTTGCCTTGGTTATATATGCACTTATAGTTATGTTTACTTATTTCTTCAGTACAGTACTTTAGAGTTTCAGTGAAGTTTTTGTTGTTGTCATCTTTTGAATCCCTCCAGTAACTGAAATAGGCTGAATCAGTGAAACTCTATAGTTTGGACAGATTTAGCATAGACGTAGTGGTTACTGTAATTTGGGTATTGTAGTTCTAATAAATCCGAAGAGAAACGAGTTGGGGGAGGACAGTAAAGAGGTCTTAATTATAGCAGCTACTTCCTAGTATAATTATAATGAATAAATTTAGGTTTTTGTTCTCTTCACAAAATCCAGACATACAACTTCAGAATGCAAAAGCAGATGTGTTGCTTAGCAAGACGTTTTTTTTGGGGGGGGGGG